AATGGGAAATACTTGCAACCAATCTCGAGGGATTTCAGAAAGTTGTGGTAAGTTTAGCATTCTTCTTATTCAACTGCTGGAAATTTTAGTGACTTTGTTTCTTGCTGGTAATGGCAGAATGAACTCTCTTCTAGCAAAGTTGTGGCATATGTTGCAGCTGGCAAGACTATTGAAACTGATGTCCTGCCTATTATTCAAAAATTTCAGAAGGTATGCTTATGTATTTCTTTTATAATCATGTCTTAATAGTGTGGGTGTTGTCACAGTTTTATCACGTGCTAGTTTATTAATCTTTCATGTTGATGATAAGTAATCTGTTCATTGTCACTGTACTCAATAGAAGAAAGATAGGGCCCTCAAACAAAAAGAAAGGCAAGAAGAACTCCTGAACAGTTTTAGATCCTACACTGCTGGGATTACTCGTTCCTGCCGCAGTCGCAGACCTATCAGTTATACATTTGGTATGATGTGTATCTCATCTGTTTTCATTCTATGGCCTGCTTGTGGGGCATATAATCAATATTTGTTGGTTTTTTTGCTTCATTTTCATTGTCTTGCTGAATGACATCAAATATCAAATAATCATACAGACCAACAGAAGATATTTGGAATTATAACTGCCTCCCTGTGGTCAAGTGCATTACTAAACTTCTATTGGATCTCAAATTCCGAATAAGATGGAGAAAAAAGTCATGCACTAAATGTCACAAGCCAACTGATATTTTTCTTTGTTTTTTGGTTTCAATTTACCATAGTTTCTTGCTTGTTTCAAACATTTTTTTGATCCAAGAACCTTGGTTGTACTTGAGCATTACTTCCAATTAACCTTTTGATTTGGGATCCAATGTGCAGATGATTATGACCGTGCGATTGATGAGGCTATAAAAATAACAAAGTAAGAGTTGGCTGTTATCCCTACATGAAATATACTTTTGTTGTTGTTGCTTCGTGAACTGCATTTCTATATTCTGAATGTACCAACAAAATTCTTTGCTAATGCTGTTTTGAAGTTCTTTAATATCTTGAATGCAATTTGTCCCTCTTATTGAGAATACAATACATAACCTTTTCTAGTTGCTTACTTCAATTTATTATCCAGGAAAAGGAACACAATTGAAGAGGAGAGCAATGACAGGAAACATGTTAAGCAGGGAATTGCTTCTAATGGGGGTTCAAACATGGGCTTAAATTCAACAGAAAGTCTTGGTGAAAAAGGTGATTCAGACATGAGTGCAGACTCCAAAGGTAATATTGAAAAGGGAAACTTCTCGGATAGTGAAGAAAGTGGCAAGCTTGATGAAGCAGAAAATGATGATGATGACAGCGATGATGATTATGATGACAAAATGGATTATAATAACAGGAGTAGATCTGGCAAATCTGTTGAAGAAAATGAAACTTTTGGTGGCAAGAACATTGCTCGGAAGTTTGGTTCTCGTTGGAGTTCAAGACTTGCTGGAGTTGCAAGCCATCCTGTTGTGGAAGCTGGAAACTTTGGCACAAAGAATAGGTTGAGGCAAAGACCCATGCGTAACTCTGCCCTTGACTCTATTAATGTGCTTGAATCAGATGATGAAACTTCGTCAAAACATACCAACAGCGAGATATCTGGACATGAAGATTTGTCTCCAGTTTGTAATTCTGAAGGTGTGAGTGACAGTTTGTAAACCAGTTTGTGCAAGTGATTACCCTTGAGAATTTTGCTGGGAGGAGATATCGTTGCAGAAACATGTCTTGAAGGCAGTGCATGTTAACAGCAAGTTTTGAAAATGTGCCAATCCCTGTATTCCGTCTAGGAATCCAAACTCTAATCTGCACCTCCTGCCCTGTGCTTTCTGAGATCCTGTTTTGTTAGGATTTATAGAGATAAAGTATGTCCTGTACAGAGTTGTAAAGCTACCACTAAGTAGGCACCGGCGGATTTACATCTTTTGTTTACTCTGTTTAAATGGAATTCCTCCCTAGCATGGAAGGATCATATGTATAATTAATTTATTAACGGCTTGTAAAAGTGGTTGTCCGATAAATTGGAAACATGGGATTTCGCTAATTTCCTGGCTTCAAATTGATACAATCATCGCAGAGCTCTTTTTGACAGGGTACCCAACATATCTTGAACGCGCTCGTTCCGCTCCTCGTAGGGATAGTTTCTCTTTGCAGTGATGTAAATTGGCTCTTAATTGAGAGGGGTTATGGAAGGAAAGTTTGCCTCCATTGTACGGCCGAAAGGTCAAATTGACCTTCCAATGAACCTTTTTTTTAAAAAAAACACCCTTCCTCATTGCAAAGAATATACTTAAATTTTACTTCGGGAATGTACATGATGCATGCATCAGAGGTTTCCAAGAGAAGAATACAGTGTCAAATATCTGCTTAAAGTTAAAATAAAATCTTGAAAATAATCTTCTCCTCCCAGCATTCTGCATGCACCATTGAGCCAGCCTGCACTGTTTGTCTTTACTTTTTTAAAATCCTGGCTGACGTCTGTCAGATTAAAGCCCAAAAATGTGTGTTACCAAGTGGAAAACAGACGTCTGGATTAAGAGTGCTTAAAACTAACGTATGGATCAGAGAGTTTATAGGATTTCTGGTCACAATCTTATTGTTCTAAATGAACCACTGATTAGCAGAACCAAGTGGTGTAGCTTCTTGAAAACCATTGGAAAGTCTTTTTGCATAAAGAAAGTCTGCGGCATCAAAAAGCCTACGGTCATCGAAAAAAACAAAACAGAAACGGGAACGAATGATATCAGGAAGAACCTCAATAAGCCAGTATCCTCATGGCTTCACTTAGACATTGAAGGAATCTAGCAGCACAATTTATTGAACTCTTCAAATGCTTGCGCCGACGGGCAGATTCCTCGCTTTCATGCTGACAAGGAAGGCTTATTATTAAAAACTTGCCTTCACTAGTGACAGCATGCCTGGATTCAAATAACTCAGATCTACAGGATCTCCAGTCCACCATAAATCTTTGACTTTGGGAGCAGAAATTGCCGAAGGAAGTTCATATGAATATGGATCTGACGAGCTTATATTCCATGTCTCAATGTTTTCAGCCATAATAATAACGCGTCTACAGGGAAATTTTATTTTCTTGTCTCTTCTTTTCCGTCTCTTCTTCCCTCTAAAATGATCAAAACCCAAATCCAATTCGCAATCAACTACAATAATTCAAATCTAAGTTCTGTTCTCCTATCCATACAGCTGAAAACTCAATTTTCTTTAAAGGACAGGCAGAGAGGAAGTTACCAAATAAACATATCATTCATAGACTTGAAAGAGAATAAGCTCGATGGCTTCAGTTTCTTCACTCCCTGTGCCTTCACTACTTTCTCCATGATCTCTAGAGAGAGAAAGATTAAATCTTGATACAGAAATCTGGAGCAGAGAGCAATGGAAGTGTGAATTCACATAGAGAAAGTTGGGGACTTTAGGGGAACAAAACAAGGGCGTTTAAGGAGCAAGGAAACAGAGTTTGCAGGGGGAAATTGTATCAGTCTGAGAGTTTTTCTTTGCTCATACGAAGACAGACATGGAACAGCAGCAGTTCATGTAGTTTAATGTATTTGAACCATTTAATTTAATGTAAAACTAATTTGGGGGAGCGTTTTGGATATGAAACTGAACATTTGAAACGGTTAATTCCACCACTAACATTTAATAAGGAATTAATGGCAAAATAAATATAAGAATAATTGTAAAATTTTTTGTTTTTTAAATAAGGAGGAGATTAGTTAAGATTCTTAATTTACATGATTGTATTTAATTCTACAATTTAATATTTTATTTTAAAATTAAAAATTAGGACAGATTATTATTTCAATTCAAATAATGAAATTAAAGTGAATTCTATACATTATTTGATTCTAAACAGGCCATTACTTAATAATTATGTATTTCATGTCCAAGTTACAACTGCGTAAAAAATAAACATATAAATATAAATAATGACTATTTCTATGTTAATATGATGCTTCACAATCAGAACATATGTAATTAAATTGGTAAATTAACATATTGCACTAAAATTCTTCATGAAATAAAAATAAATCTCTGAATTAATTAAATCTCATAAAACTAATAGTGTATACACAGAATATTTTTAATTCTAAAATAAAAAAATTACTTGATGTAATAAAAACCAATCTAGTTTCAAATTTTTCCTAAAAAGCATTATCTCAGAGAATAAAATAGCATCTTTACAGATGAACATATTTTTTAAGAGTGACTTTCAACTTGTTTTTTGTTAAAATTTAATTTTTTTTAGATTATTTTAATATGCTGATATCAAAAATAAATTTTAAAAAATATAAAAAAATATTTAGATATTTTACAAAAAAAATTAAAAATCAATTTTTTTAATGTTTTTGAATTTTTTTAATGTGCCGATATCAAAAATAAATTTTAAAAAATATAAAAAAAATATCTAGATATTTTCCAAAAAACATTTTAAAATTAATTTTTTTGGATTGTTTCAACGTGCTTTAATAAATATAAATTTTAAAAAATATCAAAAATATTTTAATATTTTTCAAATGAAAAATACTTTAAAAATCAAAACAAACTCCAAAAGAAATACCAAACCCTAACATTTTTTTAGTATCTTCGAAATGTGTATCTCCATTGTCCATTATGCAAGAAATTATTAAAGACTTTATGGTATTATATCCGATTTTTAATCAAACAAAAAAAATATTATTTCCAAATCTTTAAAAACAAAAATCACAACCCAAAAATTCTCGCAGTCCAACAATACGTAGCAAGATTTTTACGGCACAAAGACCTAAAATTAGAAGGCCCAATATAGGAAAAAGATTTCTTCATTCAACCCGGCCCAGAACATACCAACCCAACCTAAACATTATTTAGCCCAACCCATCCTAGCCCAAACAATCCCGTCCAAGCAACCAATACATGAAGAGAAAAAAAAAATATATATAAATATAAATCAAAGCGAATCCATTAAAAAAAAAATATATATATATATATAAATCAAATCGAATCCATTAAGCCTTACAGGACGGCGACTAATGGCATCCACAACTAGAGAAGCCAGAAGGAGAAAGATCGTTGATAGAGGATCTGACCGTTTAGCCCTCATCACCGGTCAGATCCAAGCCATCCCATCCCAAAAGTTGATTTCCGAGGACTCACTTCCTCGTATCTCGGATGAAATCACCGGTACGGTGCTCCCTCTCTCTCGGTCTCATATCACTTGTCAAATCTAATTGCCCCATTGTTTTATTAGTAGATTCTGAGAGCCTACAAAAGCGGTAGGGCTGTGTTTGTTTTGATGCTTTCTTGATCATTCTATCATAGTTTAAACATTGCCTGAAGGCTGTGTTTTGAAAGGTAAGGTTTAGTTGCTGCTGCTAGACAATGAATGTAATCTGTTTAACAGTTACTTTAGGGATCTACGGGTAAGGCTGTGTTTTGAAAGGTAAGGTTTAGGTGCTGCTGCAGACAATGAATGTAATCTGTGTTACTTTAGGGATCTACGGCTTAGGATTATGAAGAATTTAAAAGGTTATCGTGCTTTTATATCTATAGATTATTCAGGATTCTAAATTTCGAAACTTGATTTTTGTTGCAGTTTCTCCTGACGGGAAAGATGGAGTTTCTGATTCTACGTTGGTGAATAGTGAGCCCACCACCATTGCTTCTGGAAGCGATGGAAGCACTGTGGAAACATCTTTACGTGGATTTGAGACAGGTGTGGGAGCATCATTAGCTCCTTCTGTGGAAACAAGCAGCAAAGTAGAATCATCTTTGGCCGCATCCACGGTTCAGAAATCGACCAGGTCATCTTCAGGAACAGAGCAAAAGATAAAACGACGACCACATATAAGTAGTTTTGTGACTCCAAATCAAATAAGCGCCGCCATCGCAGCATCAGAGAAATCCCGACTTCTTAGTTCTGTAGTTGTAGGCTTTTTGGTTGTCTCATCGTATTTAGGATTTCCTCTACTGGGCAGCAACTTTGTGAGGAGCATTATTGGTTTTAGGCCTCTTTATCTACTTTTGTTAACCAATTTAACCCTTGTGTTAGTGCCGCTTCTCTTCAACAATCAAAGAGATTTTGAAAGGGCTGTAGATGCAGAAAACAAGATTCCTTCATCTGATGGTTCTGATTGGATTGAACAAGCAGGTAACGTGATGGAGGTAGGTTTGGTGATTCAAAGGGCCATGGATGCAGCATTTATGGATTGCAGCGTATATGCCGTAATAATCATTTGCGGCCTTGCCTTGGTCTAGTAATTTAGCTACTTGATCAAATATGTTATTTCTCTTAACATGTATCAGTTCATTCTTTCTGGAACAACCTTTGGTTTCTGAATAAATTTATGATGATTTTATTTTCTGCACTCACTACATCTCTCTGTGTACAAAGACGTTGCACTTACACCTTTGAAATCAATCAATGAATATTCGAGTTTGTCAATCATACGAATTCAAAAGGCTTCCAGATGAAACCGTTCACCAGAAGAAAAGATTCCCATCAAGCTGCGTGCTCTGATCCTGCAAGATGCCATAAACTTCATGAATCCCAGTTGTTCTTTGGATGGGATCATGAATTTTATGTATGAGATCGAGAGCTTCTTCTTGCCAAGGAACTGTTCTTTGTCCAGCACCAATTCTAAACTGCAGCTACGTGGACGTTTCCCATTGGAGGTTTTTGTGTTAACCCAGACATTCACTCCCATCCGCAAGCATTATTTCAATTAAATGAGGATCAGTTGTGTCCTGATGGGAAGTCAGCAATTCTAGCAACCAGAAAATGTCTCTCGAAAACGGCTTCGAATCATCCCATGATACAAATTCTTGAACCACATTGTTGATGTCAATCAAACTAGACCCTGGTGTTTTCTTCACGCTCTTACTTTTGATAAGCTTTCTCATCCTTGACACACCATCCCACTTGCCAAGATCTGCATATATATTGGAAAGCAAAACATAATTTCCTGTATCATCTGGTTCAAGCTCTTCAAGGTGTTCCATTGCAATAATAGCAATATCAAGATTACAATGAGTCCTGCAAGAACTTAATAATGAACCCCATATCTTCGAATCAGGCTTCATAGGCATCTTCTCTATAACGTCAAGAGCATGACTAAGGCGCCCTGCACGTCCAAGAATATCGACCAAGCAGCCATAATGCTCAACCTCTGGCTCTATATGATAATCTCTACTCATGGAATCGAAGTACGCTAACCCCTCATTCCAAAAACCAGCATGACCACAAGCTGATAGAAGACCAAGAAACGTAATACCATTTGGTTCAATCTTTGCTTTCTTCATTCTTTTAAACAATTCAATGGCTTCGCGAGCTTTCCCATGATTTGCAAGCCCTCCAATCATGGTACTCCAAGAAATCACATCCCCTTTGGACATTTGATCAAACAATTGACAAGCTTGACCAATGCAACCACATTTTGAGTACATTTCCATAAGAGCATTACATATAGATGTCTTCCTCAACAACCCATTTCTGTCACAATACATATGTATCCATTTCCCAACTTCAAGAGCTCCTAGCTGCGCACACGCTGGCAAAACAGAAATAATACTAATCTCATCAGGCTCAACGCCCACAATTTGCATTTGACGAAACACATACAACGCATCGGCGTACGATCCGAGACGCGTGTAACCAGAAATCATCGCCGTCCAAGATACTATAGTCCTGTAAGGCATTAAATCAAACAAAGCTCCTGCCTTTCTCATCTGACCCACCCCAACATGCCCAGAAATAATACTATTCCACGAAATTGCATCTCTTTCAACCATACCATTAAACACCTTATGTGCGTCCAACAAACTAGCACACTTCGTGTACATGTCAATTAGAGCATTCTCCATAGTGATATTAGACTTTGGCCCAAACTTGCACAAGTGGGCATGGACTTGCTTACCTAGATTATAACATACAAGCCCTGAACAAGATTTAATAACAAAAGGGAATGTGAATCTGTCTGGGAAAATTGGGTTTTCACTTTCCGGGTCTTTTAGCCTTAGCATCTCCTTATAAAACAAGATTGCCAAAGTATACACTTTATTGTGTGTGTGAGCTCTTATCATTGCATTGTATAAATACCCATTTGGTTCTTTCAGTTGCTTAAAAAGCAAGCTGGCGTATCCAAGATCCTTAGTTTTATCACACACATCTACCATTTTTGTCACCAAGAAGCTGCTCTGCGAAAGTGAGTACTTGATAACTTGAGCATGGATGCTCTTCAACTCTACAATGTTTTTGCAGTTTTGCAAAATGGGTACAAAGAAATTCTCTAGTTCTCTGATTTTCAAGGCACCAATTCTTGTTGCCATTGTTGACTGTAAAGAAGGGAGCTTTCGTCTATTTGGCAATCAATGAATAGAGGGTTGCTTTCAGTGCTAGGAGAGGCAGAAGTTTGTAAACTTTTTGCGGTTTTGTTCAAGAAAGTTTGTTTCTTGATCAAGGAATGCAAGTGCACGGAGCTTTAGTGAAAATGGGGTTTGGGTTCGACTTGACGATAAGCAATGATCTTATTATAGCGAATGATGCTTGTGATGTGTTTGATAGAATGCTTGGAAGAAATGGAGAGCTCTTATGCGTGGGCACATACATATTGAGAGCCCCCTAGAGTCATTATTACTCTTCTCCCAAATGGGCTTTTCGGGCGCGACACCGAATGATTTCACCTTTTCGATGATTCTCAAAACCCGTGGTTTGTTGAATAGCTTTGACATCGGAGGACAAACTCATGATATTCGTGTGAAAACTGGATTTGATATGGTGAATGTGGTAGGGAATTCTATCACTTACATGTTCTCAAACTATGGAAGAACCACTGAAGCCGCCCGTATGTTTGAAGTCATGCTTATTAGGAACCTTGTAAGCTGGAATGCTGTGATAGCAGGATATACTCTTGCAGGATTTTATGAGAAAGCTCTAGTTTTGTTTCGAAAAAATGAAAGAAGGTGGGGAAATCCTTGATGAATTTACGTTTGCAAGCACATTGAAGGCTTGCACTGTCTTGGTGCAATCAAGGAAGGAAACCAAACTCATGGTCTCTTGATTGCTAGTGGGTTCTTGTATTCTGCTAATACTGCTATTGCTGGCGCTCTTGTTGTTCTATATGTGAAACGTGGGAAGTTTTTTGAGGCGAGGAGAATGTATAGTCGTATTGAAGAGAAGGTTGTGATATCATGGACGCTACTCATTCATGGTAATGCCTAGAAGGAAACTTAGCAGAGTTCCATGGACTTGTTTAGGCAGCTTATAGAGAGCGGCATTCAAGTAGATGGGTTTACTCTGTCAGGCATGATGATGAGTAGGTTTGCCGCTTGTTCACTAAGGCAAGCAAATGCAGGCACATGCTATTAAATCTGCTCTGGCGCATAAATCTCAGCATGGTATCTGAAGTGTGGAATGATAAATGAGGCATTGAGACTTTTCCCGGGCCCGCTAGAAATGTGATTTCTTGAACAGTTATGATCACTGGCTTTGGAAAGCATGGTTTTGGCAAAAAGGCAATTCGTCGCTTCAACGAACTGCGCGATGATGTAGTACGGAGTGCCTTTTTTTCATTTCTACACAAATTAATAAAACTCAGTTTAAATATTCAAAAAGTAATTAATATATAAATAAATTGTCCTAAAATTTTATGAAAAATTTAATAGTCAAGAGATAGATTTAAAATTTAATGGCTCGAAAGAGAAGTTGACATGTCATGAAAGAAAAGAAAAGGAAAAAAAAAAGAGAGAGATTATTATAGATATATTAGAGTTCTATTTTCAATTTGGATAACACAATTTTAATTACTTTTTAAATCTTTATTATAATTTTATTAAACACATATTTAAATCCAGATAGCCATATTTAATTATACTTTTTTAAAATTTATTTTTTAAGTTATAATTATAAAAACTCTCTCAAAAGCAAACTCACTCTCCCTCTTGACACCCAGGTCGTTAAGGTTGGAGGAAAAGGCTTGTGAGGATATACCCATCCAACATGATGAGAATAATGATGAGGGTATCTCGTCCAAGCATGGGTCCCACCCATTCCCATGGGTTGGGTATACCATTGTGTATAGTTAGGTCACCCGGGTGTGGATGTTGCCACCTGAGGTTATGGGCAGTTTACTGGGCCTTAGGCCTGCTTGTTAAGTAAGGGGCTGCAAACTTGTCTCCTGTGTGGGCCTATGGGCCAAGATTCAATCCCATCACTTTTCAAGGCCATGAACGACCATAGGATCAAAGCTAGAAAACAACACCATGAATGGTTGATCTTCTCGGCCGAGCTGGGCGCCTTAAAAGCCACATGTAGGCACATGAAAGACATTGGTTTGTGCTTGCAGAGTATATAGAGACTATTGTAAAGAATGTGAGAGGATATGAAAAGGTGTGGGACTGGGTAGAGAAGTAGGTGGACATTCTTTTGAGGTTAGAGTACAGTGAATATCCTATTAATTATGTGAGGGTACTGTCCAGCATTTATGTTGATGCATGCTACTGGAAAGAATGTGAAAGGATAATAGATTTGTGATGTCAAAGAAGTTAAAGGAAGACGCGGGTTGGGTACAGATTAACAAGGAGGTTCGCCTTTTCTATGGTAGAGATGATACACATCCTCACAAAGAAAATACATGATATCTTGAAGGAAATGGAGAAGAGGATGAAGGGGAAGGCTTTGAAGATGAGTTTGGAGGTAAGGCCTTTGAAGATGGAGGAAAGCTGACCCGAGAGTTTGTAGGGATAGTCATGAGTTCATCAAAGGTTTATCTAAGATCTTGAGAGTGGTATTTGTGGTGAGAGATGCAAATAAATTTCACAGGGAAGACCCATGCTCTCGCGGAGTTTACTAGTGATTCTGTATTACAATCATCTTGCCTCCTACAATGGTTATGTGAAATTAACTCCTTGCAGCTAGGAGAGGGAACGAGGATGGGATTCGTAATAGACTTTATGGAGAGATGAACAAGCTTACAAAGTGGAATGAAGTGAAATAGGAACCTTAATTCTTGAGGCTTAGCCTCCTCTCCCCTCCCCAGCTTCCACTGTTGAGCAAGGAATCTTCCAGTGTGCGAGCAACAGCATCCGGTGAATACTTGTAGCCTTAAAACATTGAAAAGTGTTTTGAAGGCTCTTCAACACCATTTTATCAAAGCAAAGAATAAGGAGAGAATCAAGCCCACTACAGTACTTTTTGCTGTACACTTTTTTCTCCCGAAGCAAGTTTTGGATTTGACAAATCATCGTCTTTATACAATGAACAAAATCATAACCCTCAAAGATGGACTCTTCACCATAAATTTGCTTTGAAGTGCAGTTAACTCGAATACTTGAAGAACTGACGACTGAGAGCTGGCCAAGCTGTTGGACGTTCAGATGGATCATGTTTTAACAGATCATGCAGTGAGTGAAGATCTCGAGTTTTCTGTGTTTTGAGATATCATATCCTGTGCTGATCATCAATAATCTAATATCAAGATTCCCAGTCATGAAATCCTACAAAAACACAAAGGTTTAAAAACAAGCTCAGCTCTGATACTTTCCCTAGGAACTGTTCCTTCAGACCAATTCAGCCCAGATCCCCTTCCAAAATATTTCTCAGCTCCACTGTTGTATATACCCTATTTATTGTGGGACCTATTGTGCTTATACTTAAAAGGAACAGGAAAAAAAATGAAAATCACGATTTAAGAAAAAAGAAGAAAAGAAACATTTACGTATTTTAATTATTATTTTCTTCTTGTGATGTTATTACCAAAGCCTGAAATCACAAACACATGATAACATTAAATAATAGAAATAGAGTAAATTTTATATTTCATAGAAATAAATATATTTGATTTCTCCTATTTTGCTGTTATTTTAGAACTATTGTGTTTTGGGATTTCTTAATATCATATTAAAAAAATAAGAACAAAAATCCCCCCTCCTAAAACAGGATTAACATCATTTTATTTTATTTTTTTAATTTTAGGAACATAGACTCGCACAGTAACATACACATGCTTAGTGGACACACAATTCAAAAAAAAAATCTTTTTTGAAATAATATGGACACAGACAATAAAAAAGAAACAATGAAAGCGGGGAGACTTGATAAAACCAATCAGATTCTCTAAAATATAGGCAAGTTTAGTAACAAGCAAAATCGAAAGTTTTAGTTTCAAAACTTCTGGATTAATAACGGAAAATCTCAAGTATAGAGGTAGAGGTTGATCATTTATGAATCTATAGGGATGAAAATGTAGTTTACCAAACAAATCCGAAATCAATAAGGAACGCGCTAAAATAAAATGACCGTTATAAGTCGGTCAAAAGAAACAATCCTCTATGCATTCGGACTCCTTCAAGATAAATGTAAGACAACAAGCCTTAATTTTTCACTCTTCACTTCCTTGACAAAAACATCAATTCTCAGATCTTGAAACGTGAGTGAATAAAGAAGAATGGCTGCTTCTGGTGCTGCCGCCCAGATCACTGCGGTGTGGAGACAGAATTTTCAGCGAGAGATTTTCAGACTGGACGCTGCCCTGTTCAGATTTCCAGTTGTCTCTTTTGATACAGAGTTTCCTGGTTTCTTTCGAAACACTCCGATAGACGCCACTGACTTGACTCGTTACGAGGATTTGAGGCATAATGTTGATCCATTAAGGTTAATCCAATTTGGTATCACCGTTGCAGATGCAAGTGGCAAAATCGGGGGCACTTGGGAGTTCAATTTGCGGTTTGATCTGTCGAAGGATTTGTTTGTCTCTCAGTCTATACAATTCTTGCAAGACAATGGCATCGATTTTGACAAGCTAAGAAGAGCTGGGATTGATTTCGACATGTTCTCACAGTTGTTGTCACGTGTAGTTGCTAAGCATCGAAACCTTTGTTGGGTTACCTTCCATGGCTTGTATGATCTGTCGCACACATTGAGGACAGTGACAAACAGGCCATTGCCCCATTCTGTGCCTGGTTTTACGTCCCTACTTGGTATTGTGTTCGGTCATGTGGTGGATATCAAATACATGGCTCGCTTTTGCCAGGGATTACGTGGTGGTGAGTTAGGCTTGACAGCCATTGCTAAAATCTTGAACGTGGAAAGAGTTGGTGGGGCACATCAAGCAGGGTCTGATTCTTTGTTGACGGCTCGTGTGTACACAAAGATGAAGATGGTATATAAAATTGATGAGACTCTTTGCATGGGGTGTTTGTATGGCATCTCATCTAGAATTTGCAAGCCGATTGTTGTGCCTAATACCAATGGGCGCTGCTTTATTCCGTACTTCAGCCCTCCAGCACCGTTCCAGCGTTGCATTCCTCCCCATTGCTGTGGTTTCATGCAAGCTGCTCCAACTTTTAGTCATGTCTTGTAGCTCTGTAGGATATCTTTTTTGTAAGAATTTGGTGTTTGCAATTTGGATAAATGCTTACAAAATGTGAACATTTATGATTTGATTGTTCAAGAAAATATATTTCTTTGTTTCCTTGATTATCTTCTATCAATTTCATTCTTGAAGAAATTATTAGATTATTAAATAAACCTAATTCAATGTCTAAATGCAATGCACCTGGATAAGAGAAGAGAATAGATTTCATCACATGTTGATGACCGTATCTTTCCCATTTATCACATATATAAATATTCAAATAAGAGGCAAGTCAAATTAAAAACATGAAAGGTTCCTGACAAACTGCTTTGTTATGCTACCACCAGTCGCTTACCGTGTCAGTTATTTGTTGTTGGCTCCTATCACCAAGCCATCAGCACCCCTGTTCTCGTTGGCATCGCAATCCTGTTTGTTGACCTCCAAATCCTCATCCTGCAGAGTTCCATGTATGAACTTCCCAGTTGATGTGCAACTGTATAAGCCCAACAACTTTGTTGGTCACTTCCAACCGTCTGCATCATCCTACAAAGAGCACATGTAACACACCAACTCACTATTAAAAATAATCCCTGACCAGATACACGTCTGAACCATCATCCAAATGCCTAGGTCCCCCCAACCTTGCCACCAAAATGCTCCATAATAGCTATTTCTTTTGCTACAACTTGATCCCCAAAACTCCTTTTAGTGGAAGGTTTAACAGAATCAATAAGCCTGGTTTGTTTGTAGAGTCAACTAAAACTTCAATCAAATAAATAGAGCTCCTGTCGAAGGTCAGGAAGAAATATGTAAGAGCTTCAATAATGATGTGGTGGCACCATATTTAGGGCTTATGAGAAAGAGATGGTATGTGCAATGGCAGCACAATGCAGTAGTTACCTATGATTGGTTAACAAATGAAAGTAGAGAAAAGATTAGACAGAGTTTGAGGGATCAAAATTGCCCTTCAGTGTTTGTAGTCTGTGACCATCAGTTGCCATTTCTATAGAAATCCATAAAGGAAGCTGACAGATTGGCTTAATTGTAAAAACATTCATGCTTCTAGGAGTATGAATAAATTGTAAAGATAGTGAGGTTGCGCTCAGGAAAAAATAAAACAGGACAATGAAAAAAAAACTTATGCAAGGATGGGGAGAGGGTTTGTTACCTTTAAGTCTTGTGGAACAAATCCTTTATCAACAACAATATATTGATTTCTGCTGTAAGGGAATCCTGTTGCCTGATAAAGAGCAAAGAAAAAAAGTTTGCTATCAGTTAGGTCTTTCCGGCTAGTGTCTCAAAACAGCAAGTTAAAGGAGGAAATTCCAAAATAAAACTAAAAAATTAAGTGTAATAGGACTCATATCACGTGAATTTCCTGAACAACAGCATGTTTTCTTTTTTATACCACATTTTGATGGATTAAAATGGAGCTCCAATAAGGATGCACAAGCCTGTGATCCCAGTTATGGTATCATCTTGGCCATTCTGAAACAATCATATGCATGTGCTGCTAGACCATAAACCTGTAAAACAGCTGCGAACAACCCAAAGTGCAACAGCTAAGGTGAACCTTGTCTAAATGGAAAGGGGATCTCCGATCCCTACTCTTGCTAACTAGCAATGACCCCCTGAAAAACAACTAAAAGTTGGGATAGATGTATGAGAGAGGAGTTCCTTTGCTTGATTGGTAATTATCCACGCAAGGGCCAACAGATGTTGTACAGTGGAAGAGATATCTCAATTTTAAAAGTAATTTGTTATTCCTTCCTACTAATAAAATTGAAAAACAAAAGAAGCAAATATACGGACACAAAAGGCAGCAGACATCCTCTCTCTGCCCCTCACAAAACTACAAGGTGCTCCATTATATTCCAAAAGCAAACACACGCGCACACGCGCGCGCGCGCGCACCAATTAGCAGTGAAGAAAGGATGTATCAGTTAGCAGTGAAAAGAGGGCGTATCACCAAATTAAGATTATGGATCCATCTTTGCCCACAGTGTATGTATCGAAGCTGTCCATGTATGATTACATCAACTTGAACAATGAATGCTTGTAAAAATGATCATTCGAAGTGAGCAACTGCAAACAATAAGAACACACACACACACACGCATACTAATTTATATGTGCCAGAAATTAAACAGGCCCAAATAAAATTCTTAGAAAAGCAACCCTTTCTAAGCATGCAGTGGCTCTTATCATCCTTATGGATCCCTGATTGTTGAGCTTTGCTAACCTGATGCCTGAACAGGGAGCTGAACTTTTATAGAAAAATTCCTAACCTGATGCCTCAACAGAGGAACAACTTCAGACATTATCTTCTTTCTTTAAGCTTTATTCTCTCTGCTAGTCGCCCTCCTCTTATGCATAGAAACAAGAGAAATCCCTAATCAATCCATACAAATTGTCGATTTATCAAAAGTAAACTGAGATATTTTTACAATTATAAACAAAAATATTCAATAATTATTAAACTAAAATGTGAGTGTTGGAAAGTTACTCACTAGCTAGAAGTTGACAAATCCAAAGCACAAAGGGGAGTGAAGACGGGCTGCTGGAGCGGGTGAAGACGGGCTGCCATCAGCTGGTCTACTGCCGGCTGGTGAGGAGAATGAGAGGAAGAGAGAGAGGGAAGAGCTGAAACGAACTGTGTGTGTGTGTGTAATTGTTTCTTAACTTTTTGATATAAAATAATTATACCGCACTTCACTTTTTTATTTTTTATAATTTATATTCATGTCATTTATTTCTTAATTTTTTTGATGTTAAATAAATATATATAACCCACTTTACATAAATTATCTTTTAAATTTTTAATATAATTCTGTCAAATGTTCTGAAAAAGCCTTAAAAATTTCATGTCTTACAATATGATAATTATTTAATAAAAAAATATCAAATTCACTTGACCATCAAATTCTCAAGATTGTGATAATATATATATAAAAAATAAAATAAACTATAAAATTTGATTTTTAAATAATTTTATATTGAACAAAATTTAAATAAAATATTCAAGGTTAAAAAAAAATTAAACCAATTTAAATTAATTTGTCAAACTTGTAATTTAAATTATAACATTGATATAATCTTATAAAAAATAAATAAATAATTATATAATTCAATTCCCAATAAATTTAAAAAAAAAATTAACAAGACTTAGAACTTCATAGAAAATAAATTAAAAAAATTATAAAGTTGAATTCTTAATTAATTTAATATTAAAAAAATTAAAAAAAAAATATAGTGGGAAGATGAATAAAATAAGATTAATAATTCTTCGATCTATATTTTTTCCATTGGATTCTTTCAAAAGACATTCTGTAAGATCATCACGCAGAATTAGCATGTATTTTATAAAAAATATCTCTTCTTTTTACAAGAAAAGATGATCTACGAAGACTTGATTGGTGGAAAGTATTGAACTAGAAGCTCTTCCCTTACCATGTACCAAATCAAATTACACCACCGCACAAGAGGAATTTAAGGAGCTGAAAGGTATCTAATACATCAAAACTTGGCTCATGGTTGTATCTGTTTCTATATTACAGTCTCACTCAGTAAAGTCTGTTCACTTCAGGCTTCATCAGAACACAAGTAATAGTAACATGAAAATCTCAAAATTTATCGACAATACTGGAGGAAAGCTTTGCCTACGAACAACCGAGATATCTTTAAGAAGTTTGAGAAGGATTGTTATCTCCCATTGTTTTGTCACGATGAATCCTTTCTCTACACAACAGCTCATATGCTGGAACCATGCTGACAAGCTACACGCCCATTTGGATTCTTGAATTCATCTCCAGCCACAAGAAAGAATGCAGTGTGCCTGGAGAGCCACAAGAGGAGACACAGTCCCTCGGATAAGCAAAGGGAAATAAATGGCAAGTACAGCTATGAGCTGGATTCAATGAGCGTTAAAAATAAAGCAATTTGGTGAAAATCATGCCTGAAATAAATCATCATTTTGGTTTCTAAGTCATCGTCATTATCCGGGGTGCTGTCCATTGCTTTCTGCATGTGATGTAGCCACCCCCCTGCAGCTTGGTGCGAGACAGGAAATGGTCGGTGGCGTCCAATTAGCGCAGGATGACCTGCCAAATTCAAAGAATGGTTCTTAGACATGGGTTTTACCTTTCAGACTTACAAGAACAACCGCTGCTCCTAGGTCCCGGACCAGGAACTTCCTTGTGCAAACCTGTCACAGAGTGGCACATACTTGGAATTCTGGCACGGTTGGGGGAGTGAGTTTTATTAATTATTGAACTATCTCTTGAAATTAACAGTGGCCAACTTAGGCTCATTTTACGCTTAGAAAGGCAACACATATCAACACTTCACAAGGTTTTTCTTACAACGGTTTCAACAGACTGATTGGTTTTATTAATTATTGAACTAGAAATCGATCAACTTAAACATGCAGAGAACAAACAAGCTAATTTCTAACGTTAGATGAACAAACTAATTAATCCACTGGATTAATCTTTAACACCATATGAAATCCTTTCCTTGAATCTATACTGTAAAGAAAATAATCATGAGTCGTCCTCCACCATTATCATTTAATTGCCAACGACCATCAAAAAATAACCCTTTTAAAACCATAAATCACAAGCAGAAAGTCTCCAAACAACAATTGATTTGCATCTGCCAGTATCTAGGATGCTTGTGACGGTCGCGTGGTTTCAACGCTTTTTCTGAGGTCTCGGGTTTTTCTTATTAAAAAGGGAAGTCGATAGGTGGCGAATTTTGGTTAGTTGATAGATTTAGAAGGTTGAGAAACTGTGGTCCCCACTAAGGCGATCATTTTTTTTAAGATTAACGTGGATGTTCGGATCAGTTTGCATGTATCATGACTAATTCCACGGGCCCTGAAGTTAACGATCATGTAAGCCTCCAGTGGCCATCATATGAGCAACCAAGGACTCGAACTTGAGACCACAGAGGAAACAAACTTCTTAATCTCAAATCCTTATCATTTGACCACCACCTAGATAGTTAAATCAGATCATTCTTCATTTAAGGAGAGAACTAGATTGGCACGCCCGCGGGCCAAACTAATTTGTTTTCCTGCGCCAAACAAAAGAAGTTTAAGTGGTGAAAATTATATAAAAAATTGTTAGAACATAATATAATAAGTTTAAGTGGCGAAAATTATCTTAAAAAAAAACTCATCTATAAAAAAAGATCTTAAAAAATATCTAAGTAAACATGGTTCAATCTTTTAAATTTGTGATTCAAAAAATTAAAAAAATCTTAATTAATAAAATATTAAAAGAGAAAATTAAAAAAAAATCCAATAAAAAATATTAAAAACAAAATAAATAGTACTAAAGAAAATAAATGCCAAATCTTATATAAAATAAAATGAAATAAAATATTAAGAGACACAATTAAAAACATTATTCAATTAAAAGAATGATATAAGATATTAAGAGATGCAATAAAAAATATAATTTAATCAAGATAATAATTAAAAAAAATAACAATCAAAATAATAGGGACTAAATCTTAAAGATAATAAAATCAAAGAAGAGTTAAATCAAAAAGAAAAACCAATCCTATAAATTATTTAAAATAAAAAAATAATTAGAGATTAAATCTAAAAAAAAATTAAAGAGCTCCTTTGAAAATATATAAAAGAAAACTCTAAAACAAAGAAGGATGAATGAAAAAATTGAGAAAAGAAATCATTGATGCAAAACCTGACATTTTTTTTTTTGTCATAGACGCTACCTAGAAATAAAGGTGATGACATAAAGATTAAAATACCACCATAAAAAATATAGCTTGATTGTAAAAAAAAAAAAACGTTATACTAGTTGTTTTTGAAGAGCACAGGAGCACCTATGTATGTCTACATGATTGTCATGTACATATAATATTTTTAAATTAATTAATATTTTATATATGTTTCAATACTAAATTAATTTTGATAAGACTTGATAAATACAAATTAAAAAAAAAAGACAAAAAACAAAATAAAGCCATTGATAAAACAAAAATTTAATAAATAATTATCGTGATCATTTTACTATACATTTAAATAAAAATAACATTGCCCACCAGCGCTTTAATTGTTTTATTTTATTATGTAAAAACAACAAAAAGACTTCTATAGCTATTTTTCCAATGCTAATTGTGTTTTGTTGATAGAGGTTAAATGATAATTTTACTGTTCTAATATGATAATTTTACTGTTATAATCTACAATGTCAATACTACAATAAGTTTACCACCCCTATTAGTTTCTTTTCTTCGGAAGATGCTTTGAATGGAACCAAGGGGACGATGGATTAAAGAGCAGGTTACTATGCAGTGTCTAGGGTTAATTACAAATTTAGTCCTTTATTTTGAAACATTATAAATTAGTCCCTTAGTGACAACTCTCATTAATCATTTGGTTTTTTGTTTATGCATTTCAAAAATATTTTTAAAAAATAATAATTTTTTTATTTTTTGTTTACTTTAAATTAATATATTTTTAATATTTTTAAATTATTTTGATATGCTAATGTCAAAATAATTTTTAAAAAATAAAAAAAATATTATTAAAATATATTTTAACACGAAAAGTTATGTGTAAAATAACTGTAACTATATTTTCAAATAAATTATATATTTTAAAAAAATATTATTGATATATATTTTTCTACGAAAAGTATTTGAAAATCTTACTTTTTGGTTTCTATTATTCTAATTAAAATGGCCTAAAAAGGTAATTTTGAGTAAATAGACAAAGGATATTATAGCAAGATGGTAGTCGAAAATGATCAATCATAGTTCTTTAAATATGAGAGACTGGCTTATAATAGTGTTCAAAGACTACTTTAGCCTTGAAGAGATGATGCCATGGTGGAGTTCTGCCATGGTCGCTTTAGCTTCAACCTTTTCCTGGCGGGCAACAAGCTTCTAGGCCCGATTTTTGGTTGCAAAGGTTCGCCTCCCTTTGGGCCAAAATGATTTCTCACGACGACAATCCTACTCAAAGAAAAAAAGTTTTAATAATATGAATCTAATTATTTAATTAATTATTCAATTCATTTAAAAAAAATATACTAACACAAGAAAAATAAATAAATTGATGACCATAAAAAATTATAAAAATATCTTACTCACCTAGAATTTCTCTTCTTTTTTTAATTTCTAATTTTTTTAAAAATAAATTATAAAAAATAACTATTATGATATTATTAATTATTCTCTAAGCACTACAATATCTCTCATCTTTTAACTATTAAGTGATTGATAAAACCAATAGAAATAGATATTTTGATGCGAATGGTTGTGACAATATGTTTATTCATTCTTAAAAAAAAAATATGTTTAGATGTACACGGGTTAAATAAATTAGTCCTGTAATTTAATATATTTCTATTTCAATATTTTAAAAA